CCATAAACGGCGTAAATTGGCAAAAGCTAATCGAGCTTTTTCTGTATTCGCGTTGAGATTTCATCAGTCATCAGGCTATTATCAAGACTGATGAGACTCCTCAGTTAAGTGAAACATGTCAAGGCAGAGAACTATAAAATCCAATACTCGTTATCTTTCATCTAAACTATTATTTCACCAGTAGTATCCTACGTGATTCTACATTTCAAACTCTTTTTTTTTCGAAAACTTTTCTCTCTCTTTCGTCTTCAGGAATACAAAATCCTCCTCGTCCATCATTATTATAACTAGTATACAATTATGTGGCAGTTTTGTTTGTATCGTTAGTGCTATCGCATTGACACGTTTATCCATGTCCACTGGAAAATGTTCCCTATCACCTGTAAACACATATTCATTAGCACATCCTTACATAACATGGTTAATTGGAAGTTTTTGTTTCGGCATTGGGATTGGTTTGTCCTCGCCCAATACTGGTACATTAATGACAATACATTCAAGGACAAGCTTTCTATTTCTCTCAACAACAAATTCATATCAACTACAATTAGTAGTATATTTTGGTCAATTATTAATGCCAGCTATTATAGCTATGTTACATCATCAAGCTTTACTGTTTTGGCATTATTCATGTGTACATAGTCTTGGTGTATTATGTGTCAGTGTATTGATGTGTTTTACATTGATTGGTCATTTCGCCAATGAATTATTCATTGAAAAGAAACATAATTATTTGTTTAAATTACCGAAAACTACATCTAAAATCATATCAAGGAAGGAAGGAAGTAAGTAAGTTAGTAAAACAAACAAAAAAACAATTAGCTCTTTTCAATTGAACATTGATCATTCCCCCATATTGATGATGATTGGTTACAAATGTCTTTCATTATTACACTTGTTTGTATTTTTTGTGGGGGGGAGTTAACTAAACCTACTTGAATTTGTGATAGTTTTATTGTGTTACTCTGTATACTCTTACTGCCCACCCTGGCGCCCACCCGCCATTCGCCTCCCCTCGTCTCCTCGCTCCTCTTCATCTCTAGTCTGATGATCAATTCTAATCATTATATGATGGCTGCATTTTCTTTTCTACTGTAACAACAATTTGTATTTGTATTCTATAAGTGTGTGTGTGTGTGTGTGTGTGTGTGTGTGTGTGTAGTCAGTCAATTTGTGTTGAACTCTTTTTTTCTTTCTGTATAAAAAAAAACAGTATTTCTTATGATCAATTTATTTTTCATAGGTTTTCTATTGTGAAAGTTTAATTAATTTGTTGTTGTTTTTCATTTCTTTATTTTTGAATTTTTTCTTTGAATTTTCGTGGTATATACTACTTAATATGTTATAATAAAATTGGTTTGATTAGTTGAAGAATACAATTTTGCGAAGTTCTTTCTGTGTTTTTTTCCCTACGTTCAAGTTGTATGGACTGCCAGTGTGCGCATATGTATGATGTATATTGGGTTTTTCAGTCATGTTAATCTTGGAAAGTATGAGTTGGTGAGTCAGTTGCAACGTAGAACTTAGTACGTAGGTATGAACGGTAGTTCACATTGTCATACTGCATTAGCATAGAGAGACTGCACTGTCAGTTCAAATCCCTTGGTAGTAGAGGTAAGGAAGTTGAAGCAGTAATGGTAAAGATTATGGCTTGAAGATATAATTCAAGAAGTACAATCCAGTGAATTTGTTACGAATACACGTGACCACGTCAATTGATACGCTTGATCTATTGTGAAAGTGAGGATCGATGATCCTGCGACACGACAGGCTACTCATAAACCCACAATAAATGGAAGAAGACTTGAAATGAAGTAGAACGTGTATGCTACAAACATCCAGCAAGTACGAGGTCTGAGTCCAGAAGAGGATAAAGACCCCGGACTGAGAATCCGAATCATGAAACGTCATAGATCATGCATATCTATACAGTTAAGTTGAATAGGAAACGACATTGTAGTATGTGACATTGATAGTTAGGAGGACCAATAGAATTAGACTTACCAAAATAATTCTCTTAGGATATGTGATGAATATCCTAACAGAAATAAGTTAAAAAAGAGAAATATCAAGGTCATGAGGGATTCAGAAGTTTAGAATTTGCAAGAACACAGAGAGTAGATGCATCTGCACCATTACAGACGGTTCGGAGCTATGTCATTCAAGGTCTCTAACCATCGATTACTGTCATCTTGTGCAACCCAACCAGGCAGTCAACACTTACCAGCAAGACACAATCCAGTTGTCCGTGACTGCATGGATTTGTGCCAAGTTTTGGTCTGGACGCCACTAGCTTTCTTGTAACCTATTTCTACATAGCAAAACAGCTCGACGAGGCAGTCAGTGCTTGGGCATTCGCAACACATATTCCAACCACCTCAACAACATTGCTTACTCAATTGTCCTAGGATATACGAGTAATGCTTCAAAGACATCTATGATTGAATACCAGTAACATACTCATATCGTCGCTTCTTACTGGCAGAAATTATTAATAATTTAATATAAATTTTCTACTACGTACAAATTGATGTATTCCACTTTGAGTTGGATTGTTTGTATGAGAACTAGTGATAGATTACCGTATATAGTCATGTTTGCTTTTTATCACTCGTAATGCATACTCCTCCGACCAGCCATCTCCAACCTATTCTGTCGTAGACCCTCCTTCCTAATTGTTACTAAATTCTATTCATTCATTCGATACCGCCTTCAATCCCAACCGTAGCTGCTAACCTTGACGTGGTGACCGGACTCACCTTGACTTGTAATGACCCAACCGAGCTATATTGGCTGGCACATATGTTCCAGTAAGATTAAAAGTAGAAACTTAAGATCTGACGGCGAAGTTGTACTGTTGATTGTAGAAAGTTGTGACAGCAGTAAAATGTCTTTCTAGGACAGCTAGCATCTGCAGCGATACTGCCTTCTCAGAATCGAAGCAAGCGGCTAGAAAATGTCACGCCTTACCTTACCTCAAGGTTTTCCATCTCCTGTGGTAAGGCATTTCGAAGAGCGGAACTGACACTTTAAAAATTTCCCATAAAAAGGCCATGCCTGACCGGCCTCTAGGCACTAAAATGAAGAAAATCGAAATTTATCAAAACGATGTACAGTAATTTCCGCTAATATTTATATGATCAATGAAACTGATGGGGAGTGAAGTAGTCGAATGTGTAGATCGCCTCACTTATCTCGGGAGTCTCGTCAATGCTGATGGTCTGATGTGTGACGAAATCTCAACACGGATATGGAAAGCTCGATTGGCTTTCGCCAACTTGTGTCGCTTTTGACGTAGGCGAGATATCCGTTTGCTGACCAAAGGACGAGTGTACTGCGCAACAGTTCGCTCCGTCCTACTGTACGGATGTGAAACATGGCCGGTAAGAGTAGAAGACATTCGTAGGTTATTAGAATTCGACTAAAGATGTCTTCGAAGCATTGCTCGTGTACCATGGGATAACCGAGTAAGCAATGTTGGGGTTAGGAAACGAGTACTAGGTAAGGATGGCAGACCAATAAACGAAGTAGTGAAACTTCATCAATTGAGATGGTTGGGACATGTGTTACGAATGCCCAACCACCGACTGCCTCGACGAGTTATATTTTGTAGTGTAGGAATAGGTTGGAAGAAAACTAGAGGCGGTCAAACCAAAATATGGAACGAATCCTTGAAGTCACCTACAAATGGACTGAGTCATGTTGGTAGGTGTAGACTACCTGGTTGGGGTCCGCCAGACGAAAGTCACTAATGTTTAGAGACCTTGAACGACATGGCTCAGAATCGTTTGCAATGGTTCTTGTGCATCCACTCTTTGTGTTCTCTCAAATTCTAACCTGAATTCCTCATCACCTTTATCTTTCTCTTTCTAAAGTTATCTCACTTCTTTATCTTACTTTTTGAATAATGTCATCGAACCCTAATCTTCTCCATTATGAGTAATTCTTCTACTATCTCTACTACTGTGGGATTTGAACTCACAGTTGTGTCTCTGTGCTAATGTGGGTATGGCTACCTGAATTGGTGTACGTAAGTACGAAGTTCTTCATTGTAACTGACTGACTGACTAGCTGATCAATGAAAAGAAATGTGTGAGCGAAAAACAAGTGAGAAAAATGAAAGAAAACCTACTTTAGGTCACACCAATCATGATACTAACTATAAAATCAATAAATCCAGATTAGGTTCCGATCAAAGTATTTTTAGAAGAAAAACTCTAGGGTATTTCTACATTTTCTCACATGCAGATAAAATTCAACAGATCTCTGTGTGTGTTTGTGCACGTAACACTACATGCTTACAATTTCTAACTGTTAACAAAGCAAGAAAGATGTTTTATGATGTGCCTTCATTGAAATCATAAATTGATTTATGTTAGATCACCATAAGAAGAAACATTGAAGCACTAAAAGACGGCCGTTTCGTTATGGTATGGGACTCATCAGTGGTAGTGCACATCCACAACTCCTACTACTTGCAGTTTATTGAACACAGGACCTCGGGTTTTGCACACGAACGCCTCACTTCAGCACTACTGAGCCGGTAGCTCTCTCTAACGGTGTTCATGTCGAGCTTCGTTCAATCCACGGTCTTGGGCGATTTCATATAATTTTACTCAAGCTTGTTCGGTTTTCCACTTATTCATGCATATAGCGATCAACACAATTGGATGCTACTCAGTGATTTGCATTCTGTTTAGGGCTTTGTTAAGAGACCGATTGATTTGTCTGTTTTTTTTCTATGGTTTTGAGTATCCCACTTGTTGTAATATCAAATAAGCTGCCTTCTTGTGATGGGAGTTTTGTTCAGGAAATTGTGAGGAGGGAAAATGAACGTCCTGCCCTTTGACAGGTTGGATATGTAGGTTCCACTTAGAGCATTTGGAAAACCGTGGTTTCAAATCAGTAGTATACATGGGCTCCAAGATTTGGATTGAATAAATGGCGTATGAACCTATTATTGATCACTGTGTATGATAGAATTGCATTTGCTAATATTTCTTCACTGTCTTGTGAATCGGACTTTTAGGCTCGGGCAGTGGCCCTTCTAAGAAAACTATCTGTTTTGTTTCAAGCACACGGAGAGTATCTCAGCTTGAGTTACAAATTCATTGATTTATGTGGCGCATGAAAGTTTATTTTAGAGATATTATTGTACCAGATAAATACTAGTATGTACTTTTGTTTCTGTCTTATTGTTACGCCTGCACGTAAACACGTCAACTTGATACACTTAAACTATTACGAGTTTACCTAGTCGGAAAACGAGAGTGAGGATCAAGGATCCGGCGACAAGACATACTACTCAAATCCAATTATCCCAGCCCCCCATATTGAGTAAAAATAAGAAGACTTGATATGAAGTAGAACCTGTATTCTACAAGCATTCAGAAAGTGCGATGTCCGAGTCCAGAAGAGAATCAGGATCCCGGACTAGGGATCCGGGACCGAGCCCTCGTCCTGGTCGTGGTCATAAAATGTTGCAAATAATGCGTATTTATACATTTTGGTCGAATAGGAAACAGCATCGAAGTGTGTGACATTGACAGTTAAGACGACCAATAAGAAACAACATTGGAGTACGTGATATTGTTATCTAGGACGACCGTAAAATCGACCATTAGGAATTAACCAATAGGATATTGGATGAATATCCTAACACTTATTCTGTTAAATCTTACACTTGTAGTTGATGTATGATTTATTGTCATGCTCTCTGTTTCATTCTAAAATTATTGTAACCTGAAAGTAACCCTGATACTCTCTCTATGTATTTGATTGAGTTTTTCTAAATTCTTGTGCTTTCTCTTAATTCATGTGTCTTTTTTTTCTTAAATCGAATTAGGAATAAATCGAGTAGTGTTCCAGTCGATCAGTCTCCTCTTTCTCTCTCGCTTGCTAATCTATCCGGTGATCGGATAGTTTCCAATCCTCTCTGAAGGTCGTTTAGTAATAACCGAACTCACATGCTACTAGTCTCAAGGTTAACTAGATAGCTTATAACGTCAATGCTTTTAGTCTAGATTGAGACGAGATTGTTTCCTGTGTACTATAAATAGCAGACAGTTCCACAATGTAACGCAACTCGATACGAGTTTTTTTGAACTATGTAAGATTTAAGTGTCTTCATCTTAATACGGTAGAGTAGATCGCAGCACCAATTCTAATAAAAATTATTCTTACATTTTATGCCTGATACAATTATGAAGTTTGTTAAGATATTCATCCAATATCCTAAGAGAATGATTGGTCAATTCCTAATGGTTAATTCCTACTGGTCAATTTTATGGTCGTCCTAGTAGATATCAATGTCACATACTCCAATGTTATTTCTTATTGGTTGTCCTGACTATCAATGTCACTTC